CTCTTTATATTACCCTTATTGTAGATGGATGCACAGAGGAAGACAAGAGTAAAAAGTGCAGTTTGGGAGTACTACACTCAAGCAACACCAGGAAAGGCAGTTTTTGTCAGAGCCCTTGTTATTCTTAATTTTGACATTCATTTTTTAATGTTTACACTAATCGGTATCAGCATCGGCCCTGAAAAACACATATCGGTCGACCCCATCGCAGACCATGCATATCGCACACCCCCATTAGATTTTTATAATGCATTGTCTTCTTATCAATCCATCAGTTCACATTTAAAGCTCTGCGTATTTGCAGGGTAAAAACATGGGTCGATTTTCGCATTTGTCTGAACTTTTATTGAAAATGCTCATTCATTCTCTGCCAGCAGGTGGAGCGTTTGGTAGAAATAACCATTTCCCAGGTAACGGCAGAACACAAAGCAGCGCAGCACCGGACTTTGAAAGTGCAGCGCTGATGTTTATTTCATGAAATCATAGCCTTTTGAAGTTTAATCGTCACATTCAGCCATATAGCAATTCTGGTCTTTCCGTCCCCAAATTTAAGACCTCTTGATATCGTAATTAAGACTTTCTTGTACAATTTACGACGTCTTCTGGACAACTGTCAGATCAGCAGTCTTCCCCATGATTGTGTAGCCTAGTGAACCAAACTGAGAGACCATTTTGAAGGCTCAGGAAACCTTTGCAGGTGTTTTGAGTTGATTAGCTGATTGGCATGTCACCATATTCTAATTTGTTGAGATAGTGAATTGGTGGGTTTTTGTTAAGTGGGGAATGTGAGCCAAAATCATCACAATTAAAAGAACCAAAGACTTAAACTACTTCAGTCTGTGTGCACTGAATTGATTTAATACACGAGTTTCACAATTTGAGTTGAATTACTGAAATAAATGAACTGTTCCACGACATTCTAATTTATTGAGATGCACCTGTATACTGCCTTTTAAACATTCAAGTACTTTTCAAGTACCTTTTCATAAATATGGCTGTTTTCAAGGGTTTTTTTCAGGACTTACATTTCAAAAAGTCAAATTCAAGAACTTCAAGCACTTTAAGCACCTTGTACGAACCTTGATTAAACGTTTGTGGTCAGTTCAAGCAATTAGCAAGGATGCATTAAATTGATAAATTACAGTAAAGACAGTAAAGTTGTATAATGTTACAAAATATTTCTAATTCAAATAAATGCTAAAACTTTCTATTCATCAAAGAATCCTGACAAAAAAAAAAAAAAAAGCACTACCATT